TTGGTGCAATAACAGTTAACTGATATCCAATTATTGTGTACGTTCCATGAATAAATCTTATCTAAATACTCTAGTTTGTATTTTATCATAAGGAATTACCTCTATCTTTTAATAATGAATTATTCCTAGTAGCCAAACGTTTCACAGACTCTTTGTTTCTGTTTTATTTTTCTGAGCACGTGTTTTGGAATATATTCAGACTTGTATTTTCATTCCCTTCACTTTTAGTAACACTGGACGAAATGCCGAATGATTCAGTAAATGTTAACATGATTGGACTTCCTGCATCGATGTACTAGAATGTTGTTAGGTGTGGCTGACTCCTGAGGTAGGCTATCAGTCCCTGATGTTAGACTATCATTCCCTGATGTTAGACTATCAGTCCCTGATGTTAGACTATCAGTCCCGCGAGAATAGACTATCAGTCAACGAGGTTAGATCATAAGTCCCCGAGGTAAGACTGAGTCCCTGATGTTAGACTATTAGTCCCCGAGGTAAGACTGAGTTCCTGATGTTAGACTATCAGTCCCGAGGTTAGGCTATCAGTCCCTGATGTTAGACTATCAGTCCCCGAGGTTAGATCATAAGTCCCCGAGGTAAGACTGAGTCCCTGATGTTAGACTATCAGTCCCCGAGGTAAGACTGAGTCCCTGATGTTAGACTATTAGTCCCTGAGGTAAGACTATTTGTCCCAAATGTAAGGCTATCAGTCCCTGAGGTTAGACTATCAGTCCCTGATGTAAGACTATCAGTCCCTGAGGTAAGATCATCAGTCCCCGAGGTTAGACTATCAGTCCCCGAGTTAAGGCTATCAGTTCCCGAGGTTAGGCTATCAGTTACCAAGATTAGACTATCAGTCCCCGAGGTTAGACTATCAGTCCCCGAGGTTAGCCTTTCAGTCACCGAGGTTAGGTTTTCAGTCCTCGATGTTAGACCCTTAGTCCCCCTAAATTAGACTATCAGTCCCCGAGGTTAGGCTATCAGTCCCGCGAGAATAGACTATAAGTCCCCTTGATAAGGCAATCAGTCCCCAAGATTAGACTGTCAGTCATCGAGGAAAGACTATCAGTCAAAGATATAAGACTATCAGGCCCGCGAGGCTAGACTATCAGACCCCAATATTAGGCTATCAGTCCCTGATGTTAGCCTATCAGTCCCAAATATTAGAATACCAGTCACCAAGGTTCGATAATCTGTCCCCGCGGTTAGACTACCGGTTCCCTTATCTGGTTCAGCCAACACTGCTGGTGCTATGCCGCAAAAACCTAGACTATCAACAATTTACAATGTTATCCTAACCACCAGTCTGTATATTGTCATGCCTTACTTTTTATCTGCCTCAGAAGCTTATCTAATCTGACAGGACTACATGATGTTAAGTATCGTCTATTGCTGTTGTAACTACATAACATTGGATACAACCACTCATCGACTGTTTCAGGTAAACAACGAATAACTATATCGCTTTAATCTCCCCACTTGTTGCTTCGCCCGACCGTTCACATAAACGTACGGTGTTGATACGAGTATACTGTGACACTGAACCAAGTCCCTACCTTAACAACAATTAGGGATTTAAATTTTTCCCACGCGACTTAGGAGCTACAGAGTTCAGGTAGAACATGCGGAAGATACGCGGCGGGATTCTTTTCATAGAGTAATGTTTAGAATAAATCACCTAATCACACCTGCCACGAAATGGACCATAATTACTTCTCACTACTGTTCATTTCATCTTATAGACTGACAGGACAATTTATTTTGTCTAACCTTGATTCAGAATTTAAAAACGTAGAAAAGAATATCAACGAAAAGCTCGATTTCCACGAAATATTTACTTCACGCCATCACCTACGAAGAGTTACTGATATTAGATTAAGTAAACACCCGTGTAAACAAATGTTATATAACACATTAAATTGTGGTTTTACGGCAATACACTTATCGACTGTGGTTACAGCTATCTGACCTTATATTTGTTGATATGTTTGCTATTAGTTTTTTCCTATCGCCACAAAAGGTAGGCAGTAAACAAATTTGAATAAAAACAATCTAACAACAAAAGGTATTCCTGCTTTTAAATATGTTTCTTTCTGGATTATTAACAACTAGGTTTGATTTGGATTGATATTGTTTAACGTCCTATTAACAGCTAGGGTCATTTAAGGACGTGTCTCCTTGTGTGTTGTGTAGGCGTGCTTGCGTGAGTGTGTGTGCCTGAGATAGGGTAAGACGGTGTGTTAACCTCCTTGTGAGAGTGCGGATCTGATTAATAAAAAAACTATTGCCATTACTTATCACGGAAAGTACAAAGAGACTGCTTTGTGTTATATAGAAATAAAAATTTGTGTTAAAGCATGATATTTTCGTATAAACATAGTCAATATGTCTCCCACAGTGCAGCAAATAAAGGGTTATGAGCATGTTGTTAGATTTAGTTAATAGGAACCAAATATGTAATATTCCAAGTATGTAGCGTTTCCATACTCATAGTATGTAAAGCCTATACTTATACTCTGTGTCAATCATATTACCCCCGGGGTCATAATTTAGTTGTTAAACCTTAGGCAAAGCCTTGGATAAGGCAACTGCATTGACCATTCCTCGGGTTGGGATTTCTCTGCCATCACCCTTGAGGTAAGGGAAGATTAAACTGTCGAGTACAATAGTCGATCGTTAAGAACGTGACATTAATTTGATTTTACATTGATCGATATGGCGGGTGTCGATTAAACAGAGGACGCTTACCCTACGGTACGCGTGGTCGTTTTCTCTTGGCATTATTCAACGGTCATGGTTGACATTTTCCCTATGTTATTCGTTTTTGACATGATATATATATATATTTCCAAATTATACAGGCGCCATCATGTGTGTCTAAGAGTAGAGTTCCAATAACGGTTTTATATATATTTTGGTATGCTCTTCCTTTTCTGTGATATGTTATTCCAACAACAATGGCAAGAGGAGAGGGAATGTAAAGATAATTGATTATTTAAGGAGAAGAACGTAACTTAACTGGAAACTTTTTCTACAACAGATGAGTTACTTTTACAATTACTACCGAACTGATTGCAAACGTTTGTGAGTGCACAAATGATAAAATGTTGTTATTTTTAAGAATATACATCACAAAGCAATGTAAACGACGAAATCCCATAGTGTGACCAGAGTCCCGTTAGCAAACAACCCGTGTTTATAGGCGTACGTTGATAAATTTTACTGACAATACTAGCTGCGATACTGGATGACAGAAACCCCAGTTATGGCGCAGATAAGTATCCCTGCATCACTTCTAAATAATAACATTTGACATATGTGAAGTGACCATTCATGTTAGTCAAATATGGCTAAAACCTAAATGGAAGCTCATACGTCCTCAAATTGTGAGTTTGGTTGTTTGCCTTCCAAACAGAACCCAGTGCGATTGTCACAGATGTAAGACGATACAGGCCCGTTAAACCTTTTGGCTTTATACATCATTACGACGGATAGCGATAACTGATATGTCGCTCCACCCTGCTAGTTCTCTGGTCGCAGTAATATTCCAGGCTCGTATCATCAAATACCGACGGATAGTTAAATAAGATCACGGCGTAGTCATAGACCGTGGTCTTATATGACCACGAGTCACGGAACTGTGACTTGGATCCTTTCATTTCACGGTCAAGAGTGTGAATTAACTTCTGGGCCAGATTATAGATGCTGAAGTGATTTTGAATCCAGATAAGACATGCCGTGTATATAAACATGTTGATTTTGTTGTGTAAACATTCGTGTATATCAACCTACCATTCAGTCGTTATAGGTGCGTATTCAGCTTACTGTAAACCAAACACACGTTCAAATAAGGAAATGGTTGCAGACATTCTTATCGCTTTACAATTTGCGAAAACATGTATTTATTCTATTTCAATCGCATTCATTGCTGACAATCAGTGGCAAAGCATATACGTGAATTAATTATCTAAAATATTAAGGATTAATAAGAATTTTGGATGAAAATTAAGATATCTTTAACTCAACGTATTATCCTTCAGGGATCCCACAGCCACGTTACATTCTATTAAGGTCGTTCACATATAATATTTTCGTTTAGTTTATAGTATTAAGTAAGTACTCCACGAATTTTAGGATTGGAGATTCTGAAAATGATTATAATGGTTAAACATTCATAATTCGGTTGAGGTATGCATTTCTATTTCAAGAAGGGTTCGGTATAAACTATTTATTTAACCTTATGACAAGCAATTGTGTTTTCAATCATCCCTGATAGGTGGATGACCTTATAAGCGCAAAACATGTGTGTGGCCATGTGTTATATATTACTGTGGCGTTTATACAATAAAACGTTTAAACCTTTGTGAAAATACTAACGTCCTATCTATATCTTAAAATCATACACAATGAGAGTAGATTATATAGATATATACATATTTTTGTTTTTGTTTGGACACTCTGCTGAGCTACGTTAGTTATTAATACATATTCCCCTGGTACTACTTTCCATTCATTTATACAAACAGAAATATATATTTTTGTTTTTTATAAAAACCAGTTCATCTCCTTTTTTTTGAAATTCATAAAAATAAGTGATTTTAGGGACCTCACCTTCTGTTTCAAAAGTACTTGAGAGCAATGTGGATTTCCTCAGTTTTAAATCTCTAGCATCATCAAGGAGTCCAAAACGGACGAAACAGCTGTAGGATGTATTGACATTCATTATTGACATTCTGTATCTATTACCGACTTTAACGTGCAATCACCTGTGTTTGTTTTACGGTCATCTCTTAATCATGTCAATATTTAATCACACTCCGTAGGTATATAGATCAATGAATGAAATATCTGCATGGATAATGAAATACCTGTCTGTGGCCGACACAGAATGTTTGAGTGACGGATAATACCTGCAGCTATTCAGATGCGATGACCCATACATACATGAGATTAAAACTTAATCATGTCCAAATATACATGTAGATTTATGATATACTTACGGTAACTTTCGTCCCGCCATTATATATTTGCACCTGTCTTACAGGTAAGTTTACAATAATCCTCGTTTCAGCTAATCAAACTGTTCCCCTGTTTACTACAATATTGCCAAGGTATTTCTGAGGATGACAAGCGAAACAGAGTCCGCACTCAGTATACGTCAACTAAGGTACCACGCATGGGCATAGTAAAGCTGTGGTGATAAATCGCACGCGACCCGATTTTCATGACGTCACTTTTTGGTAGCAGACGACACACCTGGTGTATACAAATATACAAATGTTTGAGTCATAGTCGGGATAGCACACTTACCATAAAAAATCAATACATGCTTTAAGAGTTACAGCTATTTCACATAACCAAATATGGTCTTTTGAAACGGGATTTCAGGTAAATAAAGTAAAATTAAAATATTGATCGAACAGGATATGCAGCCATAATATAAAACGTCTATACATATGCATTTATATTAAGCTTTGACTGGTCTGACCAGTTTTATGAAATTATATGATAGTCAATACATTAAGGAAGGAGCATTTTAAGATTTTAAGATACTGCATAACCCTGTGCGACACTGTACGTGACTGTCTGACAATATTTGACAGTGTATAACATAGTCACTGTATGAAAATGTAAGACACTGTATGACTGTAGGGTAATGAATGGCTCTGTATGACACTACATGACTCTGTATGATAGTGTATGACACTATATGAATCTGTATGATAGTGTATGACACTATATGAATCTGTATGATAATGTATGGCACTACATGACTCTGTATGATAGTGTATGACACTACATGACTCTGTATGATAATGTATGACACTATATGAATCTGTATGATAATGCATGACACTATATGAATCTGTATGATAATGTATGACACTACATGACTCTGTATGATA